TCGGCCGGAGACGCCTGCGAACCGGCTGGGCGGAGACCGCGTCAGGGCCGTCGTCCGCAACCTGCAAGCTCAATCAAACAAACTGTTCTCTATCCCGGGTTTGGAGGCGTGGGAGCACAACCTCCACTTTGGTAACAGGTCGGAGATGCCCTCGTAACCTGCTGACTGCGCAGGTCTCCGCCACTCGCGGTGGCCATGTTACAACATGTACGTTGCTCATTGCTATTTGGTCGTGACTTTGGAGATTTTTTCATAGATGAAGCATTTTATTAACTCAAAATAATTACATCAAGTTGATACAACCATCTCGAGATCACTTCCGACTTGTGCATTAAAGCACATGGCCTATAAGAAGTTATTTTCTAGACAAATACAGCCAACCTAGTGACTATCAATCCGTAGACTAAACCACCACCGATGTGCCCAGGTAAAAAATTTCTTTACCACGTGGTCCAATTGTTTCCATGCCGCTATGACCGAATCCTGTGAAGGAACCTACTGGAGAATAACTCAAGTACAGAGCCGGTAGATAATCCAGTGGCCCCCAGCTGCACAGGAGAATTAACATTTTTAATCAAAGATCATATCATTTGGATGTAGCCACAAAGACCAACAAGTTGCGGCCACTTTTAGCAAGAGCAGTGTTCAGGTCTGTTCCAATTCCTCATAACCAGCTACCATCGATTGCTTGTTGGTTCTCTCGGAAGAAATAATTTTTTTATCTGTGCTGTGATACTTTATTTTGGCTGTGGAGATCTTTATCGGGCATATAAAATTGGTGTTTCGACTTGGCGGCTGGCCAACAAATACACAGTACAGGTCGTTAGCTGCTATTCTGAATTGAACTAGCGACACTAGAATATTTAGATTTATTTCTTGTCGTGTCTAACAAAGTAAATGCTTTGTTATTTGATTCATCCCAAAGTTCAGAAAAGGGTTATTTTGGTAGTCTAGTACCGTGAAAGATCGAAAAGAAATATTTAGGCATTACAGTCGTGTCCTCATCAGGATTTCCTATATTTTGCATCGCATTACTCTTTATTGTCCACAGAAAGTACAAACGACTAGCCGAGCCAACGACTAGCTGCTAGCCGCAGAGACCATCCACCTGCCAAGTGCCTGTAGCTACTGAATCTGCTATGTAGTATAATGAGATGGCACACCACCGTACCTTAGTGTGCTAAAAAATAGTCCCAATTTGGTTGTAAAACATCATTATAATACATCACCTCAATGCATGCATATACTTACCCCCACTTGGTTGGTGCTATACATTACCTATATATAGCGCTCTCGATCGCTCATTATAAGATGTACGGGTACCGCCAACTATACATAGTCTGTGTATCCACGTATTAGATTTTGTAACAAGTGGTTGTTTCGTAAGGGGTGGGTCGAGAAAGCTTGAAGAAAAGACAAACCGAACTGGCAGGCAACACCACCGACCAATCTTACATATGTCCCACTGGCCAACTGACTAATAGACAACACTGTCAAAACACACTGGCCAGAGATCGAATCTCAGAAGATTATAGGCCGAAGCAAATATTATTGGACCAAGATATCTGTAGGACCACGTACTACTGGCGGCTCTGGTATTATGTAGTAACTAAAATGTGATCAGGAGAAGATAATAAGGAGCCATAAAAATTTTAACGTGTGTTCTTGTTTAAATTTTATCCGGCTGCAAAAACACATGATATATACTCTGGTACTCTGTTTCAAACTGTAAATTTGTTGTTTTTTTATCTAAATCAAACCTGTTTACTTTGACCAAAGTTTATTAAAAAGTGTATAAATATCTCACTATGCTAGATACACACAAAAAAGTCACTATATCAGAGACAGATCAATGTTGAGCATCTCTGATGACTAATTAGAAACTGCTCCCCAGTAGCTCTCTGTGATTTATGCTTAAGGCCCATCAGTGACTTGACAGGAATATCAAAGACGCGGCTAAAGTAACCTACGTTTGTGAGCTTTTCATGGACCCAAAAATTTTATGAAGTTCAGTAGACCGGCAACCAAACCCCAATCTCTTCTGTCCCCAATCTCTCTGCATCACCCCTCTCTCTTGAGCTCATCTTTTAGCTCCAGTCTTATTCGCAAGATCCACATGCCAATGTCAGTATACTCACGCCGTGTCCATCCCGCAGTCTGCTCCCTCTAACCTCTCCTCCCTACCCTTCAAAACCATGCACCTAGTAAGGGCAGAGGGCTCGCCTCGAACACAAACCCTAGCCACACAACCACCCCATCCTGTTGCACCACCAGGGGAGGGGCTTCTCCGTGGGTGGTGGCGGGCATGGTGGTCACGACAACACCACACTCGGCTGCTGCCGTGTGTTCCTTGTAGCAAGACCACTGCCATGGAGACCCTCGTGGCTGGCAGCACGCTCCACATCACCCACATCAGGGACTCCCGCAGCATCTCCGGGTTGTTGCGCCATTAAGATCGGTGGTGCATACCTGTCCTTGCTCTTTCTCATCTCCGGCCACATCTAGATGCTTGTAGATCCATTACCGGACTGAACTAACGGTATGGAGTTGGATCTGCATACAATAGATCTCCTCCTCTGCCAATTAATAGTGATAATATAATGTTGCTTATTTTTTATCGACATATTTTTTAGACAGTGGGAGAGAGAGGTGTGGGTATGAATGCACGATACGATTAGTTGAATTAGATAACTTATTCCTTCTGGTCAGGAGTTGAATTTTATTGGGTACATGGTTCGTCTAATTCTTGGAGCTACCATGTCAAGGTTCATGACTAGGCACTAGTAGAGAAGCGACTTTTGATCCACTTCGAAATTTGGCTTTAGTCCCAGTATTTTTTGCGCCCGGGACTAGAGAAACCTTTAGTCTCGGTTGGTAGCTCCAACCGGGACTAAAGGTCCCTGCCCAACGGTTACCGAGGTGTGTCAGAGGCACGTCAGTGCGAGAATCTTTAGTCCCGGTTTGAGACATGAACCCGGATGGTTTGAGACACGAACATGGACTAAAGGTACATTTAGTTCCGGTTTATGTCTCAAACACAGACTAAAGGTGCCTCCAAATTGAATTTAAAAGGAAAGCGTATCTTATCTAAGTTAGATGTGTGGTGGTAGGTGAGATGGTAACGCGTGCAATAGCTAAAGTGGGATGTCGTAGGTTCGAATCTCCACAGCTATAACTTTTTTTTACTCAATAAACACCTCTACTCCCGGTTGGAGGAACCGGGACTAAAAATCAAGACTTTTAGTCCCGATTGCACAGTCCCGGTTCCAAAACAGGGATTAAAGGGGCTTGAGAACCGGGACTAAAGCTGCTTTCTCTACTAGTGAGGGTTGGTTACCCTCGCCGATGTCGCGTGTCATGTGTGGAGTGGAATGATCCTTGTTGGCCGACCCAAGAGAAATAGGACAATTGATATGTAGTTGCTAACATTAGAAACTAGGGTGCAAAACCTTTTCTTGGTAGAGGTAGAAATGCATGAAAAACATAGCGTCGGTCTAGATAGAGTTATATGGCTTGTGTGTCCATGTTCTATAAAAGGAATATCCACAAGGCTATGTGCATGGCTGTAATGTTTTCCTTTATTACCATTAAATTTTGGAGTAAAATTCCTGAGCAATCCGTAAATTTGGCCAGGGTGTCATCCCTGCCCCCAAACTCAAAAATACCATTTTTGGCTCCCTTATCTTGGCTTGGGGTATCACACTACCACAGAAACGATTTTTAGAGGTGCCTCCTTGTTTTCCCATGGTGGCTCTTTGAAAAAAATTCATGTAAAGATGCCTCTATTGGACCTAGCTAATGGACCGCATCTAGAAATGGATTTTATAACTGCAGTTGATGTTTCCTTGCGCCTCTAAAAATGACCTCTATTTTCAGAGGCAGTTCGCAATACCAATTGCCTCGCTGTGTTACTTTTACTATATAATGTTTATCTAAATTTCAGCACCATGAGAAAATATGCTTCTTGGAGTGGAAAACGGAGAGAGAAGTTGAGTTATTAGTGGATGGACTCATGGAGAGGGTCCATGGATATTTTTTTTAAGAGTAACAGAAGCTAAAAGAACCATCTGAAAACTAAATTTGTTGAAGAACAATTTGAGATCTACGTTGTCGCAAGGGAGGTTAAATAGTTTTGGGCAATATTAGGCAATGATAATAAATTATTGGATAAAATTGATATAACCATCATCAGTGACTTTGCATTGAGGGACGTCGGAAGCAATATTTAAAGTAACTTGATATTTATAGTTGTTTCATGTGAATATTTCATTTGGATACATGATAAGTGTGGTAGCATTTAATGCACAATATATATTTATACTCTCTCTGTCCCTGAATAAATAGATTTCTGGAGTTGTCTTACGTCAAACTTTTTAAACTTTGATCGAATTTTTAGAAAAAAAAACGTTAAAATTATGGTATTAAATTAGTATCATTATATTAACCATAGAATATATATTCATAAGGTGCTCATTTTATATCATAGATGTTGTTACTTTTTTCTATAAAGTTAGTCAAACTTAAAAAAGTTTGACTGGCACGGATTTTAGGAATTGATTTATTTTGGGACGGAGGGAGTATATACACACATTTTGAGTATTATTTTCGTTATATTTATAAGAAATTTTTTACAATAATTGGGGAAAAATTCGATGGCTGACATCGACCGAGAGCGGCCAATCCGACGGCAATAAAGGTAGGAGGCAACGGAGGCAATGGGATGGAGGCAACGGGAGGCGATTCTTTGTGTCTATGATCGGTGGGCCATATGCTAAAAATCGCCTTCCATTGCCTCCGCAAATGTGGGGATTATGGTGGCGGTAATTCCATTCTCGTAGTTTTTTTGATGATAAAGGGTAAAATGGTAACTCTATAAATGCAGTACTAATAGTTTTTTTTCGTCATCCACTCGGGAAGGTAACACGAAGCGAGATAGCCTCATTTGGCAAAGTGCCAGCCATAACGTCGCCGGAGAAGCACTTTGTAGAGGTAAACTTGGGATGGAAAGATTGTCAACCTTGTTGATGGGCTTTGAATTGCCGGTGTTCAACATGTACTTTGTTCGTCAGGCTATTAGATACTCCATCTTAGGATTTGGAATGGATGAGGACACACTTACCAGGGCGATCATCTCAGGGTCCGAGATCGGCATGAACAAGATCAAAGAGGAATACAAGGTCAGGTTCAAGACCACGGTCACCAGCGACATTGTTGATGACACCTCCGAGTATTACAAGGACTTACTGCTGACCTTGATAGGGAGTGAAGATTAAAATTAAAACAACCTGCTTTTGTTGGGAAAGATGTGTAGAATGTGTATCCGCAACCACCTAAAAAAAAGAACTTTCATCAGAGAACATGTACAAAGACCGAAAATATTTTGATGCATTCATGCATATGCATCCATTCTTTACAAGATTTTAAAAGGTCCATATCACGTTCAGATAAACCAAACCATTCTCTCCTTTGTGTTTATTGGATAGTTCTGAAAAGCTCCTTTTCCGCTTAAAAAGTCATTAAGCAGAACGCTTTGAGGCCACACAAAAAATTCACAGAAAGTAAAGTGCAGCAATTTCATATTGGCGATGAGGAATGAACTCATCTAGGAAACTAGGATCCGGGATCAGAGTATTATTATGCACTTTGTTATTCTACTATACTCACAGCATCTTCTGCAGCAACACAAAGTACAACAATCGAAATGTTCCTGAGCCTCATCCTCTACTGTTAAGAATACATTTATCTCTCGTTTGGACGCAATACAAGGTTGGTCTCACGCGCAAAGTACAGGAAAAAAGACAAGTGAGCACCCCTTCACACTGAGCACAAAAGTGATGATCATATGTCACCAAGCTTTTGCCCGTCTTGATTTCTTATTCACTTCAAGAGAGAAGATATCTTCATCTTCTCCTGGATGACGAAGAAGCCGCAGCAATTATACCACCAGCAACAAGACCCACAACTCCAAAGGCGCCTGTGATGATAGCCATGCCAATCATACCATCTGCATTTAACCATCAAATAAGCCGTTAGCCCAAGTTAGACAAACCATAAACAGTGCATTGGAATGACTAGAGGTTTGCTCTATTGTTCTTTTCTAATATTTGCAACATGGATACATGGTAGATAACTTTATTAAGACATGATGTCTTGATCCCTACTGCTTTTCAGGGTCCATGGCTGACAGCAGTGGTTGGGGAGGTGAGGTCTCAGATTTGGGGATATATGTGAAACTTATCTCTTGATCAATACAATTGATATTTACATTAGCTTTGGGTTCATCACGTATGATTCAGAAGATGCCATGGATAGGGCATTATTCAAGACACTCCATAAATTGAAAGGTAAGAGGGTCGAGGTCAAGCGAGCTATTTCTAAGGAACCGTCTCCTAGACCTAGCATGTGCTCTCCTATCAATGGGTTCAATTATGTAACTGGTAGAACCAATAGCTTCCTTAATGGATATACCCAGCATTACAATATGAGTCCATTAGGTGGCTATGGAATGAGGATGGATGAATGTTTTGGTCTTCTATCAGGTGGGAATAATGGTTATCCATCTTTTGGTGGTAGTTATGGAATTGGAATGAATTTTGACGCATGGATGAACCCATGTACTGAAAGTGGCTCTAGCTTCAATAGTGGTATCCAGCGTGGATGGCATCTTAATCCATATTACAATGGAAATTCAGGTGGATTCAACAACTATGTTAGCTATGGTGGAGTCAATGAAAATAATGGTTTCTTGTTTGACTCACTAGTTAGTAACTTTTTGGGGTATTTTTGCCCTTAATCACTCTTCTAGTTCCACAAGCTCTAATTTCTTTGTGCCATTTAGAAATGGGGACCTTCTTAGTGGAATTGGGAACAATAATGTGAATTGGGGAAACCCTCATCATGTGCCTGCTCTAGGTGCCAATAATTGCTCTGTTCTTTGTACTAGAAACTTTGGTTATGGGTCCAATGAAAGCAACTTTGGTCAAGGTTCCAATGTTTATGGAAGGAATGTTGGATCAAGTGGTGTCAGTAACTTAAACCAATCAACCAATGGGTATGCAAGGAACTTTGGAGATTCATCAATAGGTGGTGGCTCCATCTATGGAGACACAACTTCGACATCAGGATCTTTTGAGCGTGATGTTACAAAAATGGTTTCAACCGGTTACATGGGCCATTGACTAATAAAGGTTAGATAGTTTGTTTCTTGTGTCATGATATCATTATCCAGCTTGCAACACTTCATTAATTTATTTTTGATAGTTTTCAATTATTAGATCCAAGCATCTTGACTATGTTAGTGTGCAATGTCGATTGAACTTAATGACGTTACTTAATGCATCCAAGATTTGGTTTTGGAATTTTGTGTTGTTTTTTTTTTGTGATCCTAGGTCTCCCTATGGTTCCAAAATTAGTAACCATGTTAAATGTTCTCTAAGATTATTCCTTGCATATGTGCCATAAGAAGAGTTTGTTCAATTATGTTATATGATTGCCCTTTTGTTTGGTGCAGGATGGTGTGTGAATTGATTGAGTTTACTTACAGAAGTTGGTCTTTATGGGACATAGACCTATATTTTGTTCTTTTGGGAAGCGATGGTTATAATTGGCCTTTTTTTCTGGATTGTGGACTTCTAATGTGTCTAAACTTCTAATGATTTTACAACTTATCTCTTGATCAATACAATTGATATTTACATTAGGACATGGAGAATTTTGGACACCAGCCCTGTTTGCTTCCGCTTATAATGATTCTCGGTGGAAAAAACGAGAATCCCACCAAATGCCTTGATTATCTCAACACGCTCACCACCGATTCAGAACTTTGAACTAGCAAAATCGAGAATCGAAAAACATCCCTGCATTACGGCGATTGCAAGCAGACGGGGCCATCATGTTGGCATTATAGTAGCACATGATAAGCTATTAGCCATTCATTTTCCTAACTTGGTAGTGGACATTATAGTAGGAGATGCAAAATCCATGGGCATCCATTTTATCATTTTAATACATGTCAAATGAAGTGGGTTGTGTAGTACAAATTACATGCGGCCGTGCAAGAAGATACGGTGGTCCGACACATCCTCCTCATCACTCCAGTCCGACACCCATTCAAGCATCTACGGATCTCATGGCTCCAAGAGTTGCAAAAGACCACGCCAACAGGTCGTGGATGCCACCGACAGTGATTTAGGCATGGAGAGACATTGTTCTTGCGATTCTTGCACGATACTTATTGCATCGGCCATCGTCGAAGGCGTAATTCATGATTGCACACTGAAATATAATGGATCATATAAAAGAGCATGCATGAGCTATGGACTCGATTGCATAGAAACAAACAGGCATAGGTGTTTCCAATTCAACTACAAACAGATCTCTAAAAATTCGTCGTTCCACAGACATACCTCGTTGGGTGACCTGGGCCTTTTGATAGGAAGATCACATCCTCCGCTCACGCAAGCATTGCGACGACCGCGATTCCAGTTCCAGCAGTTGCAGCAGCTGAAGCCGTCTCTCCCTCTCGGGGAGAGGCATGGAGAGACTCCGTTCACGCAGTTCACGCGATCGGGGCCAAGCACCTTTGGCGCTCTTCTTCTTGAGCCATGGATTTTCCCGTCTTCATCTTCTTCTCACCGATGATTTTTCCTGGATTCATCTCTAGACGGCGTGGATGTGGCGGCGACGCGGTGAAGGCGGAGATCAGCGGCGGCAGCTGTCGAGCTCGGCCGGTGGCGGGCAGGGCTAGGGCTAGGGCTAAAAGGCTACGGCTCCGAGCGGCCCCTTTAGGGTTCTAAGGTGGCGGCGCGGTGCTCTGGGCATCTTGTTTATAGGGCGGCGCTGGGAACCTCGGGGCCACGATCGAGGGATTGGGCGGTGGTGGCTACGCCGGTTGATCTGTGCGGCGCGAGGCACGTTCGATGGAGGGAGGGTAGAGTGGGCTTTGGCCTGAGGCATATTGCCGGGAGTTGGGGAGAAGTTGTCGCTCTGTGTCCGCCTCTCGGGAAGGAGGCGACTCTTGTGCGTGGGCAGCCGACACACAGGCCCTGCTGGTCGGCCGACGGTGGCAGGCGCTGGGCGCTGGGCATCAGGTTCATCATTGGGGAGGCAAAGGCGCGGCGCAGGGGGAAGGGGAAGGGGCCTTGAGCCACCTGGGCGGGGCGAGGGAGCAGCGTGGTGAAGCGGCATAGCAGGAGGAGGGGACGGGCGGGAGGGCCTTCGCGATGGCGGCGGCTGGGCTGGCGGCCGGCGAGGCGTGGGATCTGGGAAGTACATCTAGGGGCGGTGGGCGGGGAGGAGAAGCTTCGGTCGGCCCGCGATGGCGGATCAGACGAGGGCGTCTAGCTCGGTCAAGCGAGGAACGGGAGTTCGGACAAGGTAATGACCACCCGCCCCACGTGGCCATGGAAATAAGAGAGGAGGGCTGCGGTTGGTTTCTTTGGGCGGGTAGTGGGTGTGCCCTGAACGAAAATAGAGGGAGTGCGAGGCGGTGGAGAAGGAAGTCGACTACATGCTGGTTTAGTCCCACCTCGCTTGCATATCAATCAAAAGCACACTTAAAAGCGAGAGCAAACTAGCCATTTCGAACTCCTGTACTACACCGCCTATGCTCTTGAACATTTGTTACTGTGCTAATTGGGCGGTGGCGGCCTAGTTGGGCTCCCTTGAGGTTGAGCTGGCCTAGCCGTTCTTGGCCCTTAGCACCAATTTTTTTCAAACCATCCATTTTGCAATTGAAGTCCCTCTTGAAAACCTTTTTTTCAAACCATTTATTTTGTAATTGATTTTTTGTATCTTCGATCTTGATTTGTAATATAAAGCCGGACCTTAAAATAAAAAACTTCGGATTCACACATAAAAAACACGTGGATAGAGTGATCGGTTCAACCTATAAGTGCACTCGGATGACACATAAGAGTGATCGGTTCACTTCCTATCATGTTAGGTTAACGGTCTATCAGTCCACTGATCAAACGAGCCGCTAGAATGTAGGTTATGTACTTGTCGTCCTACGAGCACTAGTCTAGCTACTCAGAGGAGACATGAGAGTGATCGGTTGACTTTGTTATCGTGCTATTAGCCTGTTAGTCCACTCGGACGACACGTGATAGTGACGAATTAGTTTGTATCATGTTAAGGCTAGTGGTTCACTCTGTCGAGACATGAGAGTGATTGATTCACTTCCATTCACTTTAGGCCTTTTACTCCACTCAGTCAGTACGTGCAAACTAACTTTTTAGACAAGACATGAGAGTGATCTGATGGACTTAATTTATTACCATGGTTTACGATTATTACTCCACTCAGACAAGACATGAGAACCATCGGTTCACTTTGTATCATGTTAGGCCTATTAGTACTTGTCGGAGTGATCGATTCACTTTCGTTCATGTTAGGCCTATCAATCCACTGATCAGATGAGGCACGAGAGTGTAGGTTGAGTTGCTGTCGTGGTAGGACTACGACTACACTCAGACGATAAGAAATCCATCAGATCACTCTCATGTCTTGTCTGAGTGCAGTCGTAGTCCTACCACGACAAACAACTCAACCTACACTCTCGTGCCTCATCGATCGAGGGGACTGATAGGCCTAACATGAACGAAAGTGAATCGATCACTCCGACATGTACTAATAGGCCTAACATGATACAAAGTGAACCGATGGTTCTCATGTCTTGTCTGAGTGGAGTAATAATCGTAAACCATGGTAATAAATTAAGTTCAACCGAGCACTCTAACCACATGTTACCAAGTGAACCGTATGAGTGCGTATTTCACGTGTTAGTAAAAAACATGTACCCTATTTTGGGTTGTGAATAACTAAACAAAATAAAGTATTTAATAATTTTCCTAAAATTATCTATTTTTTTGGAGATTGGTTTGCAAAAAAAAATTAAAATCAATGGTTTGCAACAACAAAAAATTGGTGCCATGGGCCAGCGACAGCTAGGTCAGGTTCGACCACAAATAGGGCCCTACCGGGCGCCTGGCCCAATTAGCCTTGTATATAGCTGACTCCCGGTCGAGCCCGGAGCCCGAGCCTTGCTGCCCAAGGCCCACTATGCCCTCGCGCCGATTGCGCCGCTCGGCCGCCAAACACGGGGTGGCTGGAGGCGGGTTTGAAGCCACGATCTCGCGCATAATTATAGGATCGTAGCCACCACGTTCCGGCGAGTTGCTCTTTCTCTACATCCTTGATTTTGTCTCGATTTCTCCGTGAACAACGACAACATCACTGGAATCGCTTTGGCACCATGGACACGGCGGGGAGATGCAGAGCAGTCCCCACGTACTCCATTCAACATGGAGTGCGGTGAATGATACATCCCTACATTCGCTTAATTAGCACAGGGTTTATGTACGGGGAATTATTTTGCGTCTTTAGGTGTGCATCTTGGCATTCTTTTGCGTCATGAGGTGTGGATCTTGGCATTCTTTTGTACGGGTATGCGTTGATGGTGAGGTACGACCCGGTCCACTCCAGGAACTCGATCATGGGCTTCATCACCGATTGCGCGATGTCGTCCCGGAACCTGCCCGCGGACGGCGGCCAGGACTCGTTGAGTGCGGTGAACGCGATCGGCGTCGACACCTTCATGGCTGTGTCTAGGCCAAGCTTCACCAGCGCGTCGTGCACATTGGCCATGGCCGGGACGAGCTGCCCGCTCAGGTTCTTGGCCTCCCCGAACACCTCGTTCCCCACGGCCACGCCGTGGATCCGCGTCGCGGAGTAGTACGCCGCCACGTTTCTCTGCACCCACCGTGGCGTAGTCGACGGGTCCGCGGCCGTAGCTACGTCGCGGGGTAGTACGCCGCCACGTTTCTTGCACCACCGAAGCCGTGTCAGGCAGGTCATTCCCCAACCGGCCGTAGCTCACGCCCACCATGCCGGCATCTACATTGTACACAGTAAAAAACAGTTAGCATAGCACTAGATTGGACCTGGAAAAATAAACAACAATCTGAGCTGAACGCGGTTACCTGCAGGGGATATACTTTCTTCTTCTCTTAATAGGACGGGTCAGCATGCTGCTTTGGGAAATAACATTAGGAACATCACCATGAGTCCTGCTCTAGGAACGCACACCTCCAGCAACATCTCCAATTATTTTAGTCTTCTTTTGTGGCCTTCCCTCCTCTAGTACCTGCAAGTTCTAATACGTTATTAAGCATGAAAT